CTTAATCCCTTATATTCATATACTTGAATTTTAATGTGATTATGTGTGGTAGACAAACAGGAAGTATCCTGAATGTGAGCTTGAGAAGGAATTATTTTCACAACACTTCAGCATTTTGGATCAGCTGAAGGCTTTTAACTACAGTTTCTAGACTTCCTGATAGTAAAGAATTACAATAGTCCAGCCTTGAAGTAACAAATAAATGGACTAGTTTCTCAGCATCACCCCTGGACAGGATATTTCTATTTTTTTCAATATTCCGCAGATGAAAGAAGGAAATTCTAGAGACCTCTTTGATATGGGTTTTAATTGACAGGTCCTGATCAAAAACAACACAAAGACTTTTTACTTTATAGTCTGAGATCAATTTAATCCCATCCAAATGAAGTGACTGGCAAATCAGCTTCTTTTACAAAGACTCTAGATCAAGAACTATAACTTCTCTTTTGTCTGCATTCAGGAGCAGAAAGTTAAGAGAAATCCAGATTTTTATGTCTTCAAGACATGCCTGTAGTCTATGTAATGGGTTAGCCTCATCTGGATTTATAGACAGATATAGTTGAGTCTCATCAGAATAGCAGTGGAAGTTTATCCCATGCTGTCTAATAACTCTACCGATTGGGAGCGTGTATATAGTACTTTGACTAGGCCATTCCAACACACGAGTGTCTGTTGATCTAAACAAACTGAAGTGGCTCTAGCTGTATGTTTAGGCTCATTGTCCTGCTATCAGTTAGAGGTGGCTAAAAGAATTGAGACTACGGCAGATTGAACATCTGCCGTAGTCTCAATTCTTTTAGCCACCTCTAACTGATTTCGTACCAGAAATACCCAGCTTAATCCATCACTCAATCAGAAACCTACCTCCCATTCATGATGCCGACACCACCATGTTTCCCTATGGGGATAGAATGTTCGAAAGATTTGGTGTTATTCAACCATTTTTCTATAGTATCTCCTTGAATTATCTGCTTTGTTCATTAAGTTATTTGCTTCATGTTTGCTAATTGCTACAAACAAACATCCAAGGCCTTCATGAAACAGTTGTATTTACCCTTATATTAAAATACACAGGAGGACTCTGGTAACTCTTTATGCAAGTTCTACGTGCAGTTAGTTAAACTGAACATATCTAATTTTATCCTACATTTTGTTTTTCTGTCCCCATGACAATGGACACAGTGAAGTGACCATCATGCTTGTGATTTGTCCTCCCTACAGGCAAAAACTGAAAGTTATTTGACTCTGACTATGCTGTGGTGTGTGTGAATGTATGCATGTGTGTGTACTGAGTGAGCATGTTCACAGTAGGATGAACATCACAAGTATTGATCAGACTAATGTGTGGAGGAAAGGCTGCAGGCCACAGCAGCTGATCAATACATGTCTAATTACATCTGTGTGAGTTTGTATGGACCCAAAAAGGGCGATTATTGGTACCCACACCCCCTCAACTCAAAGAAGGGGTATAAATATACGCTGCACTACCAATACAAAGCATTTTAACTCGTGAGAGACTTTTCTTTTTTGAACTTTTCAGGTCAACCTTAAAATGAAGCTTTCCTTTTTTTGTTCACTGAAATGCTTCTTTAAAAGATATCCATCTGAGAAGAGACTGTGGCATCATGTCTGGATTAAGAAAGTAGGTAAGTCTTGTTTTATGTTTGTACATGACGTTCAACCCTGTGCTCCCAGAAGCATTTAAAATGATGATCTGAAATGCCAGCCAGGTCTCTGACTTCCTGTGTTAGAGGTCCAGAGCCCTTAAGGCTGATCCTCTGTCCTTTCCTTACAGAGCCCATTGTTCTGCTTTTTTTATTTTTGTTGTTGTTTTTTTTCAGTCCAACTGACACCAATGATGTCTCTTTTGTTTTTGTTGCTTTATTTTTTTCCTTTAATTGCATCTTTTTTCCTTTACAGCATCTGCTGGACCTTACGGCCCCACTGAATCGCCAGAGGCTGTGTGATATGTTTGATATTCGGTTGTTCTTGTGCATCATCGTATCAACTAAATATCAGACATATTCCTACAGAGTCTGGCTCTGACATCTAAGCTACTCTGGCGAGGCCACTCGGGTAAAAGGACGTTACTCTTTAGACCATGGCTTTAAGTCATCATAGGAGCAACTTCTTAAGTGAGAAACAAATGCACTCCATACCAGTACAACTTGTTCAAACATTTATTTACCAAAGGTTAAAACGATAAAAGAAACAAAAGGAGTCTGAATTTCAAGTTTCACATCTGAACAGTTCTTTTTTTTATATCCTTGTTCTTAATTAGGCACACACCCACTGACAAACTCACATATGGTTTCTAGTTGCGACTGTAAATAAATGAACAGGAAGATCCTGCTACAGCGAGGAATGATCAGACCCTCCAGTTCATGTTACTGACAGCAAACTCATTGTCTAGTTCAGTGAATATTCTTTAAAAACTTTTATTTTATTTTATTTTTAGGAATTTGGTTGTTCTGTGAACAGTGCATTGTGCATAACTTGATTATGTTCTTGAGTTACTAACTTTAACATTCTATCAGCTATTTTTATATAATGATATGATGCTTTTTGGCTTTAATAGAGCAACTCCCCTCCTATTCCGTTCTTTTTCTCAAAGGGAATCTTATTATGTAAGGTTTTATTCAGGGAAGCATTATTTCTACCATCCTAATGAGCCTGTGGGAACAGATGTGAGCAATAATGGGATTTTTAATCAAATAAGACACTGAACTGTTATAAGGATATTTTTAAAGTAAATAAATCATTGAGTACAATAACCACAATTTGTCTTTATGTAACTTATCTGAGTGATTTCTTGAAAAAAGGCCAATGATAACATTGTTTTTGCAGCAACCAAAAATAAAGGTTGGTTGCAGCAGAGTTTTTTTTAGATTTATCTGATTGAAGATGAGCAGAAAGCAAAGATAAGACACACTTTTCAAAATAGTATAGCTATTCTCCATCAGAACAGGCTATCAGTAGTGTTTAAACATCGACTTGGTGATGCATATGATCAATCAGCTGTCACTCTAAAATCACTATAAACGTTATATTTGTCCATAGTCTGATGAATGCCTGTTGTTTTTATTAACTCCTGCAGGTACTGCATAAATAAATATGTTTATTCAAAAATGTTTTCTGTTATATTTTCATTTTGTTCTTACAAATTGTGGTTGGTAATGAAAATGTACAGTAAGGCATTATAAAAAGATCCATCCATCCATCCATCCATCCATCCATCCATCCATCCATCCATCCATCCATCCATCCATCCATCCATCCATCCATCCATCCATCCATTATGCTGATTGTTTGAAAGATCAACCCAAATCATGAAGTTCAACTAACTTTTTCCCTCTAATATGAAATCAAATAGATATAAGCAGTAAATATAACATTGCTGTGTATCACTGTGCACTTCTATCTATACACTAACAATATGAGGTGTGCATATCTGAGATTTTTGGTAATACCGATCAAGATCTCCCACCAGGTGGGACTATTGGAACTCCAATAAAAAAGTAAATGTTAAGAAGCACCAACCATGACCAACAATAAACAATTATTATTGTTTAGTCACTGATAATCTATGTTAAAGAAAGCTTTAATGCTCATTTTAATATTTTAATTTTGTTTGTTCGATTGTATACATTGTAGTATTCCTAATCCACATTATTAACATAAGTGTTGGTAGAGGTCACAGAAAAGTTTGGACAGGACTGATGCAGTCAAATGAAACAGATAAACTGTACATCATAACACACGACAGGCACCGTACGTCCTAGATGAAGCCCTTAAATCACAGTACCTGTCACAGAAAGAAAGATAATAATTTGTGTAGTTAATTCACTGCTGAATCATAAATTAGGTTTTTGTTTTACTCAAAGAAAACTCACAGGGAAAGGGTTAAATTGATACCTTAAGGCCAAACAAAAGGATTTTTATCAAGAACAAGCCTGTTAATGTTTATACCATATTCTTAAAATTTAAGCTCACTTGATCAAATAAGACATTACTTCAATACATTAGTTACATTTATTTTATAAGTTATTTTTGCACCAGTGGTTGTGCAAAAAAAAAATTCTTGTAGTGGGTTTTCCTAGAAGTGATTGTAGAGGGAATCGTTCATTATCTCATGTTAGTGTTGGAAAATATATGAGCTGCATTGAGGTGGTCTAATAAGGATTTATCCAAGTTATTTAAGCCTGTATTCACAATGATTTTAATAATTGGCTTAGAAATCAGTGAAGAACAAACTCCATATGTATTCAGACATCTGAATGCGTCTCACTGAGGAGGTGGCTTAGACCAAAGTCATGACTATTTCCTGCTTTAGTTACACTTGAACGATTATTTGTAGGGAGATCTATATTTGACAAATAAGATTTGGTGTGCTCCAAATATAGTTTTACAGAAGAAAAAACAAAGTTTTGAATTAAACATTAAATATGTGACTCTTTATTTCCTTTAAACAAACCCCACATTGGAGGTAAAGGAAAAGGAGATGTAACTTTATTGAGAATCAAATTTGGTTAATAGATTATTCTTTCTCTGAATTATCTGAACAAAATCCCTTTGAGAAATGATAAAGAGAAAAGTAATAGATCCAAAATTTTACAAAGATGTATTTGAATGTAAGACAAAATATTTCCTTTTTTAGCTTTATCTAAAGTAGGAGGTCAAAGGTTGATGTAAACCTTCTACACACACAAATGCAGTTGTCCTATGGATGATGCAAACCAAGCAGTAACAGATGGGGTTAAATGGGATCCATTGAGACAAACACTATCTGAAAGGCTGCACACTGTATGCTTAGGAGGGGAGAAGCAATGGTGAACAAAATGCTTGTGGGTTTATGGGTCTCTGTTTGTGTGCAGATAGTAGAAGGTAATACATGAGTGGGGGATGATGAGTCTGGGGCGTTACAGTATAAATATAAGAGACCAAAGGGAGAAAGTGCGTCAGTTCAACCGTGGCACTGAAAAGGAGGTGCAGACATTTAGAAAGAAAAGAACAGGAGAAGAGAGGAGAACATGAAGGCAGCACGACGGTGAACGAAACGAAGACGAAAAGGAAAAACTGACTGAACTCACTAAAAGGTCTGAAGGTTTTTTAAACAACCGGGCTTGAAAACCTATCTAGGTTTGTATTTTTTATCAGATTCTGTTTTCAGTGTTTTTGTTTTTTTCTTTATTCACCTTTGCACAGTTTTTCACCAGAAATAACCAAAACAATGGGAGTACTACTGGCTTCACTGCTGCTCCTGGGAGCCAGTCTGCCATGTTTCTCTGTTTACAACAGTGGCGAATGCTTCTTCAACACTAAAGGTACATAAAAAAAAAACTGTTTTTGCTAATAAATGCATATCATTTAAAAAGCCTGGTCTCAGCATGTGGGGCAAAATGTTTGAATAGTTACCATGTTTGTGTTGTTTTTTTTATTTTTATTATGTACTCAAATCTTACCTTTATTTATTGTTCTGCAGATTCAGATGAATTATACAGTTTTGACTTGAAAATTACATTGCATAAATACATGAAAAATCATAATCCTGATTTCAGTGCTTAAAATGAATGGCTAATAATCTCATCAATGATTTAAAAAAAAAAGAAACATGTTTAAAGTTCTGTTGAGGTGAAAATTAATTTTCTGTCCATATCAGCAAGTTGTGAACACATGGGTCAAGTGTATGGGATTGGGGAGAGCTGGATAACCAGTGACTGCTACCAGTGTGTCTGCATGGAGCCTTTTGGAGTAGGATGCTGTGACCTGTGAGTTTGTTTACTTGTGCAGTTAAGATCAACCCTTTCTAAACATTTGCTATTCATATCATTGCTGTAATTTGAGTCTCTTCTGCCCTACAGTGCAACTAAGCCCATTGACTACCCAGAATGGTGTGAGATCATTCGTAAACCGGATTCTTGCACCAGTGTTGCTGTGATGAGAGTGAATCACAAATTACCCTGCCTGTGGGGACAGGGTCGTCTGAGAACAGCTGGCCAGCCTTGGAAATCCGACAATGATCCTTTATTCTAAGTTCTGCTAATGAGACAAAATAAAAAATGTGATGCATGCTTGGATATGTCAAAAAAGAAAGGAATCATGTAGAAATTTGATTTTCATATTTAATATTGTGAGCAATATTTTGTTGTGCATCTGTTGATTACAGTAGAAGAGTTTTTTTTATTAGTTTGTTTAAAATAGTATTTAAAATTAAAGTCATTAATAAAACTAAATGCTAATACACTAGATATGTGTGTTATGTTTATAGCCCTGTGGCTTAGAATTAGACCTCATTATTTAAAATTTATAATGGTGTATTTTTTATTGTTTAGTGTTTGACTAAGCAACAATAAAAGACAACGTTGCATATTTGTACTTTATTTTAATCTATTTCTACTTGGGTTTTGTTTGTTTTTTTCCAGCAAAATTCTACCACAACAACAAAAAATTCAACGCAGAAATAAATTGAGCCGGTTTTTATGTTAGCAAATGAATAATGGATTATATGATTTTTTAAATATTGGATTGTTTTTATTTAAGAAAAAAAATGTATTCTCCATAGATTCATTGTTTATTTCTTTGTTGTATAGCCCATAAGTACAATTGATTACATGATTTAATACATTTTATGTGCAAGAACTACATGTTACCTCGTGTGTCTGGTGGTTAATTAAGTCACAACCAGTATTTTCTGAAAAGGTTCTCTGATACAAACACAAATTATTAGGAAATATTTTTAAATACACATTTTTGTTGGTTTCCCTACTACTTATCGTGTTTAGTGTAACTAATTTGATGAATGATGAACAAATACAACACTGTTGTTATACTTTATTGTGTTTTCTATTTTGGCAGGGCAGTTTTTTTATTCAGACATGCTTTAATGTATTTATTATTACAGCGCAACGCGCTTTCACTTTTTACCTTTCTTTTATTTTGAAAGACGATGCGACGCAGAGTGATGACGTCTCGTGGCGCGCCCGCGCGTTCAGCATGATGAGGATTTGTTTATCAAAAAAAATGTTTCACAGTCCGAATGTTTTTGTTTTTTGCAATTAATGAATCGTGAAGCAAAGACTGAAACATGTGGATATTGACTCCTCAGCAGTCTGGAGGTAAGTTTATTTACCATGGTCGACATTTTGAAAGCTAGCTGCGGGCTAACGGGTCAAAGTTAGGCTGCATGCAGTCTCACGATGGTGATTTTTTTTCTTCTGCTGAATACATTCCTTAAAGTTTTTGCATTGATTGTCTGATGATAATAAAAGGATATAAGGGGTCTTAAACGCACATAATGTCTTTAACAACAGGCTAAAGGCTGCAGTGAACCTTTAAATTGAAATTTATCGTATCTTAGACATAAATACTTTTCAGTCATTCACTTAACTTAAACAGCATAGGTTTTTATGGAAAAACAAAATACACCTGATGTTTTAACACAAAGCAGACTCCAACTTTCACACAGAGGGGAGCTGACACCATACTGTGTGGGGAAAAAAAGCCCTCATCATTACTACCCCACTACTGTACCTGAGAGTTGCAATTTGGTCTTTTTTGTTTTCTCTCTAAGGGGTGCTTTACATTACAATGAAATATAAATACTTGTTTTCCTTCTGTTTAATTTTTCTTCTTTTTGTTGTTTGTTTCTCTTGTTGTTCAGTACTGATGGCTTGGCAAACCTGAAACATGATGCAATATTCTATACAGAAGTTCTCTTCAGGAAACTTACAATACACACTTTTTCAGTTCTAATTGTACTGTCAGACCCTTTGGCATTTAAGATTCAGAGCCTTGAAGTTTGGGCTTTATGCAACTTTCCTTAGCAATGCATAGTTAGATTTTATGTTTAAATTTTGTTGGGAAACAAACTGTATATTTGCAGATTAGATCCAAGTTTTAAGCTCTGAAATTACTTTTCTCTTGTTAGATGGAAGATGTTGAACTATAAAATGGCTGTATTTTAATTTCATAACAATGATCCAAACGTCTTCATTTTTTATTTTTTTTGTTAAACCATCAAAGCTCCTTTTAATTGGGCATTTATACATTTTAACTTTGTCATTGCTGTTGCCTGAAGACTTTGTACCCTTGAGAACCTTTAAAGACAAAAACTAGACTTTACCCCTTGGTTGAAAGAAGATGCTTTAGTGCATGTATGTCTGATAGCTAATAACAAGTGCAGTATAATGTATATTTGTTGAATTTGTCATTATAGTGAAACAGAATTAAATAACTGACTGAACAATTTAAAAAGAAAATAACTTTTAGAGGCTACCCAAAGGCTCTCTGGCTGACTGCATTATCTGGTGAGTACAAAAGGAAAACATCAAGTACAGGACAAAGTCCATCATTGAAGTCAGTATCAACCATATCTTTTAATAATGTAATAAGTTGTGAGCAATGACCATGTTCACCTGTGACACTGATGTAAACTGCTACACTTTATAATGTGAATTTCACCATAAAGTTGCGATTCTGCTAGAGAAAAATCAAATCTGTTTCTGCACTGAATCAGGGATTTATTAAATAAAACGCTATTTAGTGAGTTTTGAACTGAACAGATGTAGGTTGAAGGCTTAGAAGCATAAAACACAGCAACTTTTTACTCTTTTCAGCTTTCCTAGTGTTGTTCTCTCTCATTCTGAATGAAGCTTCCTACTGGGGCGAGGCATTTAACTACAGAACCATCGGTTTGGTCACATTAAATCTAACAAGACTAAGACCCTTACTTTCACTCCAGCCCTTCAGGTAATAATTTGCAGCATACAGAAGGGAAGATAGTTGCAGCTTGCACACCGATCAACGTATGCCTGGAGAAGTAAGCACCTTTCCATATAACAGTAACAGTAAAGCCCTGTGACAGTAGGCATGTTAAGATAATCAAAACAATGAATCCCTGGAGTGAAAGATCTACCTGCTTGTTGGAAAATCAAAATAAAATGACATTTGCAATAATAGTTGGGGAAAAAAAATCAGTAATTTCTACTTTTGGCAGAATCATTTGGCATTTCTTCTTAGACCTCTGTACTTCTGTGTTTAGATGCAGTTTACCGACGCTCAACTGAGCTAGCTTTGAGTTTTCTCTCAGCAGCCATGTTCTCAAAGGAGAGTATTACTTTCCATGTCTGCTGGTAGAGCTGAGAATAATGAATTCATTGATTAGAAGAACAGCAGTTTTTCTGTTCCCTGCTGCCTTGACTGAGGTCAGGGCTGTTATGCAAAAATATGAGGAGTGTTGAATATGTTGAACATTTCATCTATTACTTGCTCACCAGTTGGGCTTCATTACTGAAAAGTCTTTTTGAATTATTGTTAGTATCATTATTTTTAAATGACCAAGTACTCCAAAAAATTGAAATCTAAATAAGAATTTTTTTCTTAAAATAAGTGTATTTATTTCTTGAATTTAGGAGGTGAGTGATACACTTTTCCAATGGAACAAGACGATTTACATTTAAAATAAGAAAAAAACAATTACATTGTCTGTTTTCAAGTGTATATTATCTAATTGTCTTATTTTAAGAGTAAAAAAACTAATTACATTGACAAATCATCTTATTTACCTGCTCAAATTGAGGGTAAATACAATTAATTTAAGACATTTTTACTTATTTATTGATGGTTTTTGCAGTGTATCAGGTTTTTAGCTGACGTTTGTTTCTTTTCAGGTGCAGCTTTCTATCTCCTCCCTGGTAAAACGTGCGTCGTTGGCCGTAAGGCTTGTGACATCCTTCTCCCCAGTGACCAATCCATCAGCAGGTCTCATGCTCAGCTTACTGTGACTGAGCAGGTGAGAGAAAAAAAGGAGCGGTTGCATTAACTTTTTATTATCTTTCAAGTTTTGTGTACAATTTTTTTGGTATGTTGTGCACAATTCGTTTGCATATGAATAAACCAAATTTATAGATTTGCAGATTATTAGATTTGCAGTTTAAAGTTCAGCATAGATGCCCCCCACCCCCTTGCACACATACACACACACACACAAACACAAACATACACACACACAGACAAAATGAATAAGCTCAGGGTTTTCCAGACAGATGTCATTTTATTCCTTTAATTCATCCTCATCTAAGAGTTTCTCCTGTATAACTATTGTGTTTTTATTCTGCAGTAGCACCTGACTGATTAGAGATAGTGTAACCTACCCAACAAGTGGGACTGTAGCCGTATCATGTGAAACAGTCTGGCAGAGAGCCTGCCATTCATACTCTAACAAACAGGAGCAATCTAAGCAATCTAAGCAGCAACTGAAGCTTGGTAGTAGCTTCTTTTTGTTTTTCTTTACTGACATACTGATACAATAAAATGGAAGGTTAATCATTAAAAAATCAATAATAGTTAATCAGGTCAAGTTTGTTAATCACTTATTGAAATAATCTCAAACTAATCTTTTAATGAAATGAAATCAGTTGAGTATGCAGACTCTAAAAACACCAATTTGCTGCAAGAATAACCAAAACTGTAAAAATAGAAACATTTTCCATTTGAAGTTTAAAAAACACACTCTTTATTTTTAGGTATTCACTATCCAGAACTCGTCCAGTGCCATAAGTCATATTATACAAGCTTTTTAAACTGACTGCTAGGTTTGAAAATGTCTTTATGCTGTTATACTTTCATAAACCCAGGTAAAGCTGTCATCTCTCAAACAGTACATTCATCCCTAATTTATAGTATTGGCTTGCCTCCATTTTTTTCTTAATAGTGCTTTTTGAAATTTCTAGATGTCTCACAGACTTTCCCGCTTTCTTCTCACTTTAGATGTTGTGAGTGTTTCATGCGTGCTAACTGTTGTGCTTTGTTTAATCTGTGTTCAACACCTTTTTTTTTTCTTTTAGACCCTGACACTTAAGGACACGTCCAAATATGGAACCTTCGTTAACAATCAGCAGCTAACGGCGCCCGTTGAACTGTCATCGGGGGATAATGTCACATTTGGCGTTTTTCATAGCAAATTCACGTGTGTAAAAAAAGAAAAGAAAAAAAAAACTTTTGTAAGTACTGATAACCTCCAGTTTGGTCATTTTACTGCTTTGTCTGCCTCAGTGTGGTGTTTCTAGAGAAGCCAGTGGTGTGTTCGTCATGTTTGGATGCTGCTGGCAAGACATCGCTTTCTGAGGCCCTTTCAGCTATGGGGGGGAAACTGGTGAACAGCTGGACTCAGGACTGCACCCACCTGGCCATGCCAACTGTTAAAGTCACCATAAAGGTCAGAGCCGCTGTCTGTCCCTGATTTCACCCAGTGGATGTTTTAGTTTCCAAACATCTGCTAATGTTTTTTCCACCTTTCTTACTTAGACCATCTCTGCTCTGCTGTGTTGTCGCCCCATCGTGAAGCCAGAGTACTTCTCAGAGCTGAGCAGCGCCATTATGCAAAAATCTGCCCCTCCCAAAGCAGAGAGGTAACAGCTAACCCCCCATTTTTCAGTGAGGTTTCTGTTTAAAGTAAGCTACCTAACTGTGTTTAAATGTCTGTTCTTGTTTGAAGTTATGTCCCCGAGATCGATGAGCCCAGCTTGAGTAAAGAGGATGTTAACCTTGGATTGATGCCAGCTCGGAAACAGCTTTTTACTGGAAAAACCTTTATTTTTCTCACTACCAAACAGGTTTGTATTTTCTTATTTAGTTCAAGGTCATCTTTTTCTTTCATTCACCACCAAATGCATCCACCCTCTTTGATTAAAAGAAAAACAAATATGACAGTTGTCAAGGCTGTCAATTAATACTTGAAATGTTATAATAATCTGTGTTGAACAGAAAAACCTCCTCTCTCCTCTTAGAGCCATCACCCGCCTAATTGACAAAACATTTGACAAGGTCATTTTCTGCATTTGAAATATTTGCAAACAAATTTCTCTCTGTTCAATTTGTGCATGCAAATATAGAGTAAAAACAAATGTACTTACATGATTGCAGTGGATAAAAATTGAGTGTTATAAAATTGATGTCTGAAAAAATGAGATTGTATTTCATTCTCAGGCAAACCATAATAAGGTGCATTATTGCAGCGATAAAAACATGATGGGGAAAAATTATTTGTATTAGACTGATATTATTCTCAATGCGCTCGAAATTTATACTCTAAGAAACTAAAAGATGTGTAATCTGATGTATGGTAAATTCCAATTTTTCAGAAATATATTTGCTATGTGACTATTTTAACACCTGTTTTGAATATCAAGTAGATGTGGGTGAGATCTGTTATCAGTGCTAAAATTAATTTAAAGCATTTAAAATTTAAAATTCTTTAGCATTTATTGTCGATTCAGTTAAAGATATGAGGGCAAAAAAGGAAAAGATTAAAAATAGTGAAGAAGAGGAGAGGCTGAAAAGTACTTTAAGCAACATGTTTTTTCCTTTTCTGTTCTTTTCTAAGGAGGAGTTCTGCGTTTATTCCACATAAAGTTGGTCCCACTAGGAGCGTCCTGTTTGCCCTGAGCTTTACTATTGGCGTAAAGAGATAGTTTCCCCCCCCCAAAAAAAAAAAAAGACGAGATTTAAGGATTTGTGATATTTTGACCTTTTTTTTTTTTTTTTTAAGGAAAATAAGGAAATATGGGATAAAAATGTTGGATCCCACAAATGGGTTGATAATGTGGTGGAAAAATGTAATATAAACAATCTACTGCAGAGGGCGCTGGTGGGCTTTATTGATTGGTTAGCTTTTGGTGACCTTTTGTTTGCTGGTGCTGGTCATGTTATAATAACCTGACAACAGCCAGATGCATGTCTCACTCCGCCTAGCGAGACATGCATCTGGCTGTTGTCAGGTTAATGTTATAAGAACATCATAAAAAAAAGGTGATTTATTTTTGTAATTCCATTAAAAAGTAAAACCTATATGTTATGTTTATTCATTACAAAAAGTGTTTTTTTCTTTTAAGTTGTATGATTATAACTGAGCACTAGTAAAAACAAATTCAGTATCTCATAAAATTAGAATAATGTGAAAAAGCTAGTCACTAATCAGCCATTTAAATCAAAACTCATTCAAAGGCCTTTAACTGCAACCTGATTGTGATACAAAGCAATTCAAATATTTGGGGGAGTTTCCAATAGACTGCAGCTGGAGTCAGGACTGCAGCACAAAGACATGTGTTTCTGCTGTTTATTCCTTACGCCTCTTGAGTGAGACACAGCATCCGAAGCGTTTCACCTGAGCAAAAGGACAGGACTGGTCCAGTGTAAAGTTTTTCCACAGTCAGCGATGGTTTTCGGTGCCGTCGACCAGGAGGGTTTAGAGCACTATGCTGCCTGCTCCTGACCAGCTTTATGGATATGCAGATTTAATTTTCCAACAGGACATCACACCTGCACACATTGGCAAAGCTACCAGTACCTGGTTTAAGCACCATGGTAGGGCTGCAACTAACGATTATTTTGCAAATTGCTCTAAGTGGGTTGCTCTGTCAGCTAAAGGCATGTTTTAGAGTCTTTTTACTCCAGTTAACAATTAATCGATTACTAAATTAGTTGATGATTATTTCAATAATCCTTTAATCATGATTAATCTGATTGTAAAGAGGACTGCTTTATGACAGATCTAACAATGAGGAAGAACTGAGGGCCTTTATCAAAGCAGCCTGGTCTCTCAGACTAATCGGCTCCATGCAATGCCGCATTGCTGCAGTAATCCAGGCAACACAAGTCCCAACTATGCATTAATTGTTCTACATGCTCATTGAGTTTCATGTTCGTGCCTTTTTTTAGTTGGTCAACATTTCTAGAAAGAATTTTGTTTTGTATTGGTCTGAAGTAATATATTTCTGAGAGACTGATTTGTTCTAAATCTAAATTAGAAGAAACAAACACTTGAAATATGTCAGTCTGTGTGTAATGAACGGACATAATATTTAACTTTTTACAAACGGTTCACATTTTTCCAAATAACACTTTTTAATGATGCTTTTTAAAGTTTTTTGTAACTATTTTTGTTCCTTCTTTTTTTTTTTTTTATTTGCCAAGTCACTCTAAAAGATTGTTAATGTCAATGCTCTTGGTTAAATAAATATTTTATAAAATTAATAAATAATAATTAAAGCATCTTAAGAGGGAGCTGCACAAAGTTTAAAGTAAAAAAACTAACTTTACAAAGAAGCATTGTTACTTCCTGTTTGGAGAATATTTCTGTTTCTTTGATGACCGTCAGAGGGTTAAATCTCATGCTAACTCGGAGCTCTCCTCTTCTGTGTGCAGCTAAAGCGACTGAGCACAGCGGTGAGTTTTGGAGGAGGCAGAAGTCAGCTGCTGGAGGAGGGCTCCCTCCCCCGCGACCTGCTGGAGTCTCCTCACAGCTGCGTGGTTGAGGTCACCTCGGGCAGCTCCCAAAATCTCCTCTCTCCTTCAGCCACAGAGTGGGCGAACTCTGTGAAGAATGTCGTCCACAGGTTCCAACTCGATCCGCAACTTTAAAAGAAAGATCTTTAAAGTTTGTTTTTAATAATTGCGAGTGCTTGAAAATTCTTCCCTTTTTTTTTTTTCTTCCTTTAAACAGAAAAGGTCTCAGAGTCATCACAGAGTCTGAAATCGGTCTAGCTGCCATCTACGCTTCTTGTGACAAATACTGCAATCCATCCCATTTGACCAGAGACTTAGGTGAGCGATCACAAAGAAGAGATCCAACTCTTATTTGATCCCGTTTCTTCCTGCATTTCATTTCATTTCATCTGTGCTTAATATGCTTCGTCTTTTAGAACCTGCATCTGAAATACCACCCAGAATCCCAAGTGCTTCACTTTCACAAAGCATGACTGTGGATGAAACTGTTCTAGCTGCAGCGTCTCAGAACGTCACAGCCTATGCAGCCAACACGGAGACGTCACAGAGGTACAGAGTAGAGCTGCACCATGTCAGAAAGACCTGACTTTACAAATACATGTCGGATTGTTGATAATGATGAATATGCCGCCAGTATCAGTGTTAGTATCTCAATAACCAAGATCTAGTTTCGCTGTTTGGATATATTAAAGGCTGACGTATATTACAATTAGTGTTGCACCGATACCAGTATCGGGCGGGTCCCCGATCCAGCACTAAAATGGTTGATACCATTTTGATGTTCGTATGTCACTTTAACGCAGCCTTCTCTCTCACGACAATCATTAGAGTTAACTATCGCTATTGGCCTGCTCCAGACCAATGAGAGCAGGCCAACAGCCGCTCTTAACCAATGCCGGGGCAGCTTTTTCATGCGGTGGGAAAACAGACCAGGAGAAGAAAATGTCTGCGGTTTGGAAGTATTTCGTTATAGAAACGCCGGCGAGTAAATTGGTTAAATGTAAGATTTGCGAACTGAAAGTTTTGAGAGGCGGAGTTAAACCAGGCAGTTTCAGTACCTCGACCCTGATCAAACATATACTGTAAGTCGAAACATGTGAACGAACACAAAGAGTTCAAGACTGCCAAGACAAACCGGGAAGGGCCGCAGCTGCACTTGGAGTAATGCACATCAGCCTAAACCTAATTTACAGGAAGAAATTATTTATGTCAGTTCTGATTAATCCTATTTGTTCTTACCTCAGATATGTCTTAATGCAGCCATCTCTCAAATATACCTCATATATTAATTCTTATTTTAATATAATCTTACGTTCTTACTGTTGCACCAGGATTATACATGTTACAGTTTTATGAAAGTTGCACTATTTTGGCATTTGGGTGCCAAAACTCAGGGCTTTTAAGAGTTTATTCAATTATTAATGTAATTTTACTTTTTGCTTTTGCACTTGTATTATACATGTTATATAGGTTCATGAAAGTTGCACTATTTTGGCATTTGAGGGCCAAATCTCAGGGTTTAAAAGAGATTATTCAATTATCATTTATTTATTTATTTGTCTTTTTCCTGCTTCACAAAGGTAGGCAGCTGCTTGACAGAGACATGATGGTAATTATTTTACATCCAAGTAGTATGCAGTTCTTCACCAAACACACACAAGCATCAATTTCAAACAGATGGTATTGGTATGGTATCGGTATAGGCCAATACTGCACAGCCAGGTATCGGTATCTGGGCCAAAAAAATGGCATCGCCGCAACACTAATTACAATGACTCATTACTCCATACAGCTTTAGTTAAAAGTATCCACTAGTGAAAGATATGCAGAGAGCAACTGCATTATCTGGACTCTGAATTGTTCTTTGTTGTCAGGATGGAAGTTTGCAATGTGACCGGAGTTGTAGCTGTGGGAGAAACTCCTGAAAAGAAGCAGAATGTAGCCAAGTTACCCGGATCCAAGCTCATGGCGGAGAAAAGGGCCACAGATTCCATGGTGGAGGACACAATGAGCTCATCTCTCAGTGCTGGCGGCAACACTGACTCACAGGGAGTGAAACCAAAACCCAAACTAAAAGGTGAAGTCTTGGAAAAATGTGCAGCTGTGTCCCTGTTTCACAGATTGAACAGTTCATCTCCAAATGGATGATTTCCACTTATAGTACTTGGATTCAATGTTTGTTTCTATTAGAAAATAAGAGAGGGGTGACATAAATGACAATTATGATTAAATGACATAAAGTTAGTTCATTTTTGGGAAAAAGAAATAATTTATTTAATATTACATTTAACATTAAACTGAAAATTATTCATACTTCCCTTTGTGATCATAGATGAATAGACAGGAAAGCTTTTGATTATTTATCGTTCCAAAGACAGGAGAGTGTAGATCAGGATGTTCTTTCTCCATCCTTACACCAAACTATGAAGTTATTTATCTTTAAATATCAGGCAGGCTGACTCACTCTCTTTTATTAAATCTCGTCTTAGAAAGCATTTTTCTCCTTAGCTTTTAACCCAGTTTTATATGTTGGCTTCAGAGGGTGCGTCGTTCGTTTTTAGGCATCGGTTTTTAAGTTTAAGTTATTTTATTGTATTATTTTTTGTTTTACATTTTGAGTTATTATCTTTTTAGGTAGAGCCTGCTGAGTTGGATTTTAGTCTCCTAGGAACGATGAGTCCCCTCTTTTTTTTTTTTTTTTGCTTCTTAAAGATATAGCGCAGGATGTTTGTGAATTTTTTAAAAGACCCAGCCTCTCCACTTAAAAAAGAAATTGTACATGCACAACTCTGTACCCGCTTCTGAGAGGGAACATCTATTAAATACATGTGAGAGCACGCATGAGCCCATTTCTCCTTGTGCACGTTCTTTTTTAAAATTTGCTGTTTGCATCGTTCATACAAGCTTACTTTCCTAAAGAAGATTTTGAATATCTCCACTATGTCAGATTCACCATCGGTAAGTGAAAATGGGCACAAGCCTTATATAAACATATCACCAGAATGATTGACAGTTAGGAGGACCATTTATGATGATGATCCTCCCGGAAAAAGAACATCCTCTACTTTACCTTTAAGCTCTATAATTTTCATTACCTGAAAAGAATAGGAGGAGGTTTCCTCACTGCAGCAACCGTTCATTGTTGTTTTATGTCTTTGTTTTGCTGTTTAAGGTTTAGGGGGCAACACCTTCAAATCCCCGCTGGCTTCTCCTAGAACCAATGGAGGCAGCAGGCCGTTCCTGCAGAAACAGTCCCCACAGAAACAGAGAGCTCCTGCACACACATCCCCACAGAAACAGTCCACTCTGACCAGCTTCTTTCAGCCTGCCAACAAGAAAAGGTAATCGTCTGATTATGCAGGGGGAGAAGGAGATTTTTTCTATTATAGAGATGCTTAATAAAGAAAATCATCTTTTTCTTAGAACAAACATGCCTTTGACTAAAACCAACAAAGACAGACAAAGTTCCAGGTTAAGGGATTGGTGCAATTATGCTTTCTTTCTGATACTCTAAACAAAGTAGGTACTGTTTTGTTTTTTTAGAGACAAGCGGTACATAAAATCTATTCTCTGTAGCATGTCCAAACTATTGGGGATCATCAGGATTGTACGGTAGTTCTGAAGAAATTTTGTAAGATAAGAAAGACTGTCCAAATGGGACATTTTTACTGTTTTTTTTTCCAGAAAGACGGACAGAAAAGAAAGATTGGAAAAAACTTTAAAAAATTTTTACTTTTAAAGAACTGGTTTTAGTTCACATCACAAACTTATTTAATCTTGTTTATTTATATAAACAAAAAATCTTTTCACTCCTACCCATCTTTCCGTTTTTTATTTTATTTTTTTGCTTCTCTGTGTCATTAAGACCTTTAGAGGAAGATTACTCAGCGGTCGTGTCTGCACCGAAGCGGCCGGCACCTGAATCAACCATCACTTCGCAGGATACAGACTCACCTAGAGTCTCTGGAAAAAAGGCCTCACTTCCCTGCGATGGACCTTTAGCTGTGTGTGAGACTCCGCTTGAATCTTTGGAGGATTTTCATGCTGAGCGAGCAGACGCTCTGGCAGATCAACGTCTAAGCAGAAAGAGGAAGGAGATGGAGGAGGAGATAAAGATGGAGGAACTGGAGTCCTTAATGTCAGAGGATATGGACGTCTTCTGTGATGAGCCCCCAAGCCGTCATTGCCAGAAGGAGCAGTTAATGGTGCCCAGTTTGGACAAACATAAGCAAAGTTCACACACTGCTGCGGCCTCGACTAAGAAGCAGCGCCTGCAAAGTGAAGGAGCCACACAGAGACCTGATTTACACCTGGAAAAGGAGAGTTCCAAACAAAACCAGAGGGGAGAGTCTGTCTCCAGTAGGATAGAGCGGCCTCGTCTTACAGAAAACCCTACGCCTTATCCTGACTCCAATAAACCTCCCAGCAAGGCTCCTAGTAGTCCAACTAGGTCTATTGATTTTAAAGATGACGAGTCATTTATTGAGGTGAGGACAATTGTACTCTGAAAGGGATTCAGTTTACAAATGCAGAAAACAGTAAATATGTTGGCTTGAGTTTACGGTTTTATTTCTACAGGATGTAGAGCTACTCCAAGTAGATCTTACCCAGCCAGCAGAAGAGACTAAAGCATCTGATAAACCCGTAAAGATCAAGGAGGAGGTGCAAGTAAGTGTTCAGGAGAAAATCTGTAGTTTTTTTGCTCCTCCTGAAACATCAAATCCTGCTGAACAGAGAAAAGAAACGTGTCTCTTAGTTTTGTCTGACTTTGTTGAGTCTTTTTTATAAATAATTGGATATTTGAAAATGAGCTTATTGAGGTTAACATCCTGTTTCCTGTGTGATCTGAGTACGTTTCCTCAAGTTTAGTGTTTGATCAATTATGCTGCACTTAAATGCATACAGATGTTACACTGCAAAAACAATCTAGAAATAGGTAGAAATGTCTCAAATCAAGTGTATTTTCCCTTAATTTTAGTAGTTAAATGGGATGATTTGCCAACGGAATGAGTATTTTTGCTATTGAAATACGATAATTAGATAATATGCACTTGTAATAAGACAATGCAGTTGCTTTTCTTATTTTTAATTTTTTTGTCTTGTTCCATTAGCAAAGTGTCTCACTTACCTCCTCAATTCAAGAACAAATGTACTTAGTTTAAGAAAAAAAATACTTATTAAGATTTCAATTTTTTGCAGTGTACAACATTTGACGATCAAGTTTGAGTTTCCTTTTTAACAGAGACTTACGAAATGAATCTTTTGAGGAGTTTTTTTTTCCAAGGAATATTAATTTGTTTAGTTCTGAGTTGATTTCCATGCTTTTCCAGGAGACTAAGATCGATCCAGACCTTCCCAAGCAGCTGCTGATGGTTGAGTTCAGGTCTCTCACTGTTTCTGTGCCCACAAAACCCAAAGCGGGACAGGCCCAGCAGAGCGGGCACGCCAAGAACTTCAAGTGTTTCCGAAAGGTCGGACTTTAATCTGACACGTACAATAAAGGCTCTAATTGTAGTGCAGTCTCAACAGTCATTCCTTTTCTCCTGTTAATTTGGACTAAAGAAAATTATTTTGATTTATTCGGACCAATAATTCAATGCTGCCCAAAAATATTCATAAACACTTTTTTGCTCTTATCTAATTGCATCAGAAGCTAAACAGTATTTCCTTTATTGTTAGGCCAACATAAGGCCCCGTTCCTTTGAATGAAAATGTTTTCCCTTTTAAAAGTCATATAATATCTCCAGCCTTTGTAGTCTACGTGTTAATGCGGTTGTACATTTATACTTAAAGGCCATTTTTAAGTGTTTATTTAATCTGATTACCTCTGCATGTTGTGTGACAGAAACACCTTCCAGGCTCAGAGAGTTTCCCTCACATCATCGGAGGATCTGATCTGCTGGTTCACAACAGGGGGAAGAACTCTGATATGGACGAATGGCTAAAAGACACAGCTGAGGTACCAATATCCCTCCTGCTTGGTTATTTCTGTCTTTTCTGGGATGACGGGTCTCTGATTTAAACCGATGTTCTTCCAGGAGGAGCGTCAGAACAGGAGAGATGAAGCTATAGGAGACGATCTGTTCAGGTAAGAGACTGGAACCTGTTGCTTTTTAGAAAATAATCTGAAGTTTCCAAACATAACTGGCCCCAAAGAGCCAAATAAGGGTTATCATTAAATTGCTGCAAGGGTTATCATTAAATTGCTGCAAAAGTTCATTTAACATTGCAAAACAAATGGGAGTAAAGTTATAACATCTGCTTTTTATTACTGACATAATGAAATCAGAAGTTTCATCCAGGCAGAGGCAACTCGCCCTTTTAAAGACTTGATATGTAAAAATGGGTTTGACATGCCTGCTTCAGAAGTTCGGATGAATCTAGACGGACGCCCCAGTGTAAATGAAGGGGGCGTGGTAAAAATGAATTGAAGTGATCCAGTTTTTGCAGTTTTTTTTTTAATCTTATTTATTGATAATGATAATATTAAATTTGTTTACATATTGGAATAAACATCTGTTATTTGCATTTTAAAGTTTGGTTTATTGTAACTGTGGTTTCTTTTTTTTTTGCAATATTTAATTTTCTGCTTTAGACTTTTTTTGTTTGAATGAGGGGCCACGCTAACTTGCTTGCGAAAAATGGGAGCTCAGATGATTTGATTGTTTTTTTGTTTAAATTTAGACTTGTGTAAAGTTTGAAATCATTGGGTCGTTTTTATCATGGAAATGGATGGACTCTATGACTCCATGAATATCAGCAGCGCATATCAGGGATCATTTAACCTGAAGTCAAAATAAAAATACCCCGTTTCCATTGAGCTCTAATATTAACAGGCAGCATCTGTTTTGTGATTAAGCCCTGTCTCTTAATGCCTACCATGTTGCACTGCTATGTTTGGATTATTTTCTTGGTAGGATGGAAACTGCCGCATCGGTCGTGAAGTTTTTAGGTGTAAATGCAGTTTGTTGTATTACAAATGCAACATACCGGCTCAAACAGATTAAGTTGTCCATCAAAGTCGATCAGCCCCTCAAAAGGCTCCCACACTGGCTGTAGCTGTTTAACTTAAAAACCAGTCCCATCTCTGTTTTCTCCAAATCTAAACTAGTTCAGTTGCTCGGCTCTCATGCTACACTCTAGGTATGTAAAAAAAGTCCATGAGGCCAATAAATAGCAGCCACAAAAGTTCACTTCTTGCTACACTGAGGAAACAAAATGCGTAGTGGTGAGTGGAGACTGATGCACAGGAGTGAAACTTTTAATATTTCTCAGTTTTTTAGCAGAAAAATAAGGAGAAGCAATGACAAAAAAATGCAATTTGATCAAGCCCATCTAAATTTATCACATGAATAATTTGTATCATGCAATTAATTGATTTATTGCTTTTAGGGCCAAAGGGATGATAGGATAAATCAGTTTGGGAGCCAAAGCTGCAGTTCAGTGTGGCATAAAAAGAAAGAGTGGATATGTAGAAAAACAACCTCTTAGGAGGATCTCTGATACTAAGGCCCTGACTCCATTAGGAACCTTGTGAAAGTGTACAGGAAACATGTTAAA